TTTTGTTGTTGGTTTGTTTTTGGGGGGGTTTTGGGGAGGGGGGAGGTAACAGATCAATGCTGTAAAGTATATCGATTGCATGTTATTGTCACCGCTGTAACTGCCATTGTTTTGTTTTTATTGTTTCTTTGTTTTCTTCCAAGACAATGGTCGGTTGGGACGGGGATGCACAAAACTTTATTCTTATTTATGATTTTTACACGTGTACTCTGTATTTTTGCTTTTGCAACAAAAAAGTTGAATTTTTGTGTAATTAAGAGAATTTGTTTGTTTTTGTTTTTTCCCCCAACATGCTTTTTCACTTCAGACCCGTCACTATGTGTTGAGGAGGAGGAGGAGCTGGATCTTTATTAGCAGACAGTGTTTGTCCTGTTTTCGCCTCGTTCGCGTGCACAGTTTCTCTTTTCAGTTAGCCGCGTGGAGAGTGTGCGTGATGGTTAAGTCTACCAAAAGTCTTTTATTGATGGTGATTATTATTATTATTAGCTTTTATTATTTTTATTTTTTTTTATTATCATCACAATTACTATTATTACTGTTTTTATTATTGTTGTTAATATTATTATTATTCAGGGCAAAGATGACACCAAATTGAACAAGGAAATAAGTGGGTGATCGAGAGCGGGGCGGTCCGTCTTTCTAAAGGTTTCTTTTTGTAGGCGAGGTGGAGCAGTTGGTTTTTCCCGTTACGCTGTAGTTGGTCTGTCCACCTTTGTCAAACCGCCACATAAAAGATGACCTCTGAACTCAAAGTCTGATAGTATTTTTATTTTTTTTATTATTTTGATTGTTATTATATATTGTTTTCCTTTTGATCAGATATCATGATCAGTTTATTTCTTGTTACCCCAGTTCGGGTCTTAAATTGTGTGCTGTTTTTTTTGTTTGTTTGTTTGTTTTGGTTTGAGGGTTTTTGTCCCTTCTTTTATTTTATTTTTATTTTATTTTCTATTATTCTTTCTGGTTTGCTCTAGCTTCACGCAAGTACTAACTCACGCCTCACCTCAAATGTACCTCTTGTGTGTATTGAAAGCAGTTAATTGTCATATCCTGATGCCACACTACACACTACTACTCTGTACAGTGTAGATATGATTTGGGGGTTGGGGCGGGTCTGTCTGTCTGTCCAGATGCTTTGTGCCACATCCATCCAACACTCTGTCCATCCACTC